TTTAAATATATTTCTCCACTATCTTCTGTCTTGCATAGTTTCTGATGAGAATATGCTGTCATTCTCATCTTTGTTCACAACATATATTTTTTGCTTTGATTGCTGACAAGATTTTCTATCGCCAGAAAGATTTCTCTGTGATACTGATTTTCAGTAATTTAATTATCACATATTTTTGGATTTTTTTCTTTGTTTATTGTTTTCCTCTCCCCTTCTGTGTATAACTTTAATCGTACATGTTGGTCTTCTTCATATTATTCCACAATTCACTTATATTCAGTTCTTTTTTTTAAGTAGTTTTTTTTTTGTTTAGTTTTTATCTAAATTTATATTTATTTTCTCCTTCTGTGTTTCATTCTGGATGGTTTATGTTTTGATATCTTCAACTTCGTTCCTCTCTCTGTTCCCTGATGTCTGGTCTGCTATTAATCATGGCTGGTGGGTGTGTTTTCCCCCTTGATTTCGGATAGTGTAACTTTAATTTTAACAAGTTGAATTTGGGTTTTTAAGTAACTTCTTGTCTACTCACCATGAGTATGTCTCACTCTACCTTCAACGTGTTGAGCATGTTTGCTAGTGTAACTTCCCATTCTTGTGGTTGTACATGATTGTTTTCATATCTTCATCTGATAGTTCCATCATCTTTATTACTTCTAGATCTATTCCTACAGATTGAGGTTTTTCCTTTGGCTATGGGTTATATTTTCCTGTTTCTTGGCATGTTCAAATTTTTTATCGAATGCTAGTCATTGTGAAGTTTGCATTGTTGGTTTATGGATTTTGTTTATTTAAGAGATGCTGGCTTTTTCTTTTCCTAGTGAAGTTATGTTGTGATTCCTTTTTAGGTTTGCCCTTAAGTTTTGTTAGAGTAGGTCCAGAGCAGCCTTACTCTAGGCTAATTTTCTTCAACTACTACAGCATTGCTATTGCATATTCATGCTCTGTGAGTTACAAGTTCTTTCCACTTGGCCGGTCAGCACACAAGATGTCCTCAGTCCTATGAGTTCCAATAATTTCCTTCCTAGTCAATTGCAACCTTTTTTCTGCAATCTTGGTCTCTTTACATACATTCTTAGTTGGTGTCCAGGCAAAGCCTGAAGAAGGGGATGGTGGGAAGACCTCTTTGCAGAACTGCAAAGCCCTGTCTTTCTGCAGCAACTACTCTCTAGTATTTTGCTTCACAAATTCCACCCAGAGTGGCCTTCTCAATCACAAGTCTCCATCTCCTTTACTCCTCAAGACCACTAGCCTGTGTTTAGGAGGCTCCTTTTTGAACTGTGAACTGGTAGTAAACTGGTGCATAGGGTTCAGCTTATTTGTTTTCTAATATCTACAAATCCAATGTTTTAGATATCTTGTTTGCACTTCTTGTTACTGTAGAAGGATAAATCAACCTCTGTCACTAAGTTTTGGCTGGAAGCAGAAATTCCTAAAAAATACACACACACACACACACACACAGGGGATTGAACCCAGGGTCGCTTAATCACTGAACCACATCCCCAGTCCTTTTTTATACTCTGTTTAGAGACAGGGTCTTGCTGAATTACTTAGTGCCTTGCTAAGTTACTAAGACTGACTTTGAACTTGCAATCCTCTTGCCTCAGCCTCCCAAATGACTGGGTTTACAGGCATGCACCTGGTCTCAAAATATATTTTTTGATACAGATTTAGCTCATGATTTTGCTACCCTGATTTTTTTCCCAGTGCCAGAGGGTTGAGCCACATTCCAAGTCCACCATAGGGCATAATTTTTAACTGCTATATAGTATTATATTGCATGAATAAATCAAAATTTGTTTATCTAGTTTCTTATCATTGAGCATTTATATTGTTTACTGGTTTTTATTATATTTTATAAACAACACTGCCCTCCAGAGACAAATATCTAGAAATAGAATTTCTGGTTACAGGATTCATTCATTTATAGATTTAATAGGTAATTATCGAATTATTTTTCCAAGTAGATGAATAATATTAACTCCCAACAAGAGTATGTGAAAGTAACTCCTCACGTTATCTTCATAACATCATATTATCAGACAGAAAAATTTTAGGCAATGTGGTAAGTGAAAGTGATAACTTATTACTCTTTTAACTTTCATTTTCTTGTCTATTATCGATGTCAAGCACTTCTTCACCTGTTCTTTGGTCTGTGTATTTTACTGCTTTTCTGGGTGACCTGTGGATATTCCTTTGCTCCTTTACCTATTGGATTATTTTTCTCTTTATTGTGGATTTGAAGATATTTTTAAGATGTGTTTTTGGCACCAAGCCTTTGTTTGTTACTGTTGGTTGCAAACATTTCTTTCAGTTTGCAGTTTGATTTTAGTTTCCACCTATGGTATACTTTCTTGAGCATACATGATTTTTAATGTTGATGTGGCTAAACTTATTGATTTTTTGATATAGTCTTCATTTTATTATATAAGAAAGTCTCCTCTAAGATGATAAAATACATTTACATTTTTTGAAAGGACCTTATTATTTGTTATTTTGCAATTAGGGTTTTGGACATTTTAGAATTTTTTTTTTTTATAAACGTGAGCTAGAAATCCAATCTTATTTTTTTCTCTACAAAGAGTCAGTATTTCCAGCCTCATTTTCTGATAGTTCATTTATTTTATTTTTAGTTTTTTTCTTGGAAGTAGTAGAAGGATGGTTTTATTTTTTATTTGTTCTTTTTAGATATACACGGCAGCAGAGTGCATTTTGACACTTTCTACATGCATGGAGTATAACTTCCCATTCTTGTGGTTGTACATGATGTGGAGTTTCACTGATTGTGTATTCATATATAAACATGGGAAAGTTATGTCCAATTCATTGTGCCATTTTTCCTATTGTTACATGCTACCATATGATTGTCCACTGGGAGCTGGGCTCCGTATGAGGTACTTTATGTGCCTTTCCTTGTCTACTTATCCCACGAACTCTATAAGGTACTACCATTATCCTCATTTTTCAGAAAGGTTAAATAACTTCCTCAAGGAATGATGGCTAGCAAGCAATGGAGGCAGAATTTGAAAACTACATAAATATGGAATGAGCTAGAGATGGGAGATCTGTGGGTTATTCAGAAAGATAAGCCTGGGAGGATTTGGTCGAGCACAAACAACTAGTTAGATAGGGTTTATTAAGCTCGTTCCTATTGATCATGGTCTGGATAATTCTTTACATGGTTGTGGGGTGTTTAACAGTGTCCCTGGTCTCTGCTCACTATATACCAAGAGCTCCTTGCCTTTCTTCCTCCCCATTCCCATTCCCTGGTTGTGATAACAAAAAATACCTTCAGACATTGCTGGGTAAAATTCCCACTGTTAAAATAATCACTTAACAGTATTCTCATTATGAAGAACCACTAATTTAGATAATATTAACGGTTATGAATTATCAATATCAATTATTAACCATCATTCATGCTAATGATATTGATACTGATTATCAACGGTCATTTGCCATAATTTCTTTCTGGTGCTGGTGCCTGTTTGTAGCTGAGGGACAGAAGGCTCTTGATTTCCCTTTAAGTCACAGCTTCTCAGCATTCTCCTGGCTCAGCCTGTGGGTCCTTGCTCAGCCTGCCAAGAGGGGAGTCTGCTTCTCCTTGAAAATGTGCAGAGCTCAGGGTGGCAGGCTGCCTGTGCCAGGCTTGGGTGAGCTCAGGAAAACACGTGTGCAAGGAAGGGCAGGGGGCTCTGGGGCTTGGAATGGTTTCACATTTTCTTTTCAAAATATTTTTCTACATTTTGTTGACAAGGTATAAAAGTGGAAAAATTAAGCTCTGTTGATGTCAAACAATCCAGCTGGGATTTAGTGTGGTGAGGAACCTTCCACATTCATGACATGCATCTGCTGTAAACATGTCTGGTATTTCCAGCGTCCAGCCCAGCACCCTCTGTGAATGGAGAGCTGCCCATGACCACCAGGACCCATTGGCTCCTGGAACATTCAGGGTCTCCAAAATACCGTGCATGATCCAGGTTAATTGAGAACAGTGTCTTTAGTCTGGTCCATTAAGATTTTAAATCCATTGCATTTTTAAAAATCTAAAACGATGATAAAAATGACCAGGTGATAAATGTCCAAAATAATTTGGGTGGGAACATGTAAGTCTGCTTTCTCAAGACACCTATCTTGCCTGATTCAAGATGGCCTAGTTCCATGAATCTCTTTTCGAGCCTCCTGATCAGTCACACTTTCCCCTCTTGCCTTGAGGATTGGGGGAGAGACTTTAATAAGCCCCATGTGATGTCAGGAGCCTTGACATGTGCAGATGTCTCCTCCTCATTTAGGCCAGCATCTGAGCCAGGTGACAAAGCTGGGTCCTGCCAAGACAATACATCCTTTGGACAACCTAGGTTGGCCCTTCATGATTATTCTTCCTTCTTAAAGCTCATCCCAATTCTCCAGTCCCCACTGCCACTACCCCACCACTACTGGATCTGCCCTTTGGGGGGTCCCCCAAGCTCTGAGCTCACCCTTCAGCCTTGTGGATGAGGCTGAGAGCATTGGCTAACTTGGGGGCTCCCTGAGGGCCAGCCCAGGACTCCTTCCTAGTTTCTGAGGTTCTTTCCTTTTGAGGTAGGCAGTGGGGAGGGGTCTCCAGTATAGGCCACCCTATTACTGGGCTCAGAGAAGAACATGGTAAGCACACTGACCAGCTGGAGCAAGAATCATCCTGTGGTTGTCACCTCTCTGGGCCCTTGCTGTCAGGTCAGACTCAAAGTTAGAGGCAGAGAGGAAGAGGTGGGGCTGGAGCTGCGCCCCTCCCTGCAGAGGACATGGAGTCTCCCCCAGGACTAGGGCTGAGTGGGGAAGAGTGTGCTGCAATCTTGGTGAATATTCAGGGGATGTGTCCCTGTGGCTGGCTCCTGCCTATGCAAACAGTCACCTGGGAAAGGAAAGCAGACAGTCTGGTGGCAGTAGCAGGGAACAGTTGGGGAGGGAAGCAGGACAGTTCAAGAAGGCTGGCCGGAGAGAGCCCCTGTTGAGCTCCAACCATGGACAGCTGGATGTGGGGTGCCTGCATCCTCTGCCTGCTGAGCCCATTAGGAGTCGTGAGTAGCCAGCCCAGACCCTCCTGCCTCTTTCATGGGTTCCAGATCTGGGAGCCATGGGGCATTTGGGGGCCCAGCTGGAGATCCCTTTGTCCTTCTGCAAGGCAGGAGTTCTTCCCTGTGGCTTGGAGAACTTCTGATTTGCTGGCTCCCTCCCCCCTGTCCCTTCCCGGGCATTCTGCTCTGGCTACTAACAGTCCTTCCTAGGGTCAAGCCTAGCTCACCTCCCTGTTGCTTCTCTTAGGGTCTGGCTGGGCCTTCTTGGGGTCACAGAGACTGGCCGCCCTGGAACTGGGGCTACAAGATCAGGCCCTCCCCTTCATCACCCCAAATCTGCTCTTTCTCTAAGCCAGGCGGGCCGGCTGCTTCCACACATTGATGTGGATGGTCCCTGTGATGGTCCCAGACCTTCCCCACCCCCATGACTTCTTCAGCCATATTCCACTTTGGTGGCCTCCTTTGCGGAGGGTATGGCCAGGGACCTAGTGGGGCCTGGGCAGTTAATGCCCACCAGCCGTTCCTGTCCTGATATTTAGAGGACTCTTCCTGTCATGATGCCCAAACTGGAGAAGCTTCTGGCAACCAACCATTGCTCCATGGCCTCGGAGACTGGAGCACGGGATAACAGGACAGAGAGCCAGCCCCGAAGTGCTACAAGTTCCCAGCTGCTCTTCCGAGTCACTGAGAGTGACAGCAAGGACTAGGAGGAGAGTCATGTAGTCCTGAGTGGGGCCTCACATGACTGAGGGCTTCTCCTCCCTTACCTTGTCAGGGGGCTGTCACTTTCCCTAGCACCTCCCTAGGGCATCTGGTCTTAGGCAGCCCAGGCTTTTTCATAAATCCTGGAACCATGAAATTAGCTGTGTGACCTGGAGAAAGACCCTGCTCCTCTTCCTGAGGCTCCCTTATCTCTTTTGTAAAAGAAAATTCCATCTGTTAATCAGGGCTTTGCACTGAGTGGGATGTGATTTGTCGAGGGCTGAGCATGGGGTTGCAACATGGGTCCCTTCTACTACTGACTCCTCCTGGGGTGGGGGACGTCCCCTTCCTCCCAACTGCGTGTGCCCAACTATGAGAGCTTTCTTTTTAGGAAGGTACCTTAGACCAGTAGGGGGTCATTCAGCAGCTGGAATGTGCATCAGTATCAGGACTAGAACTAAATCATTGTCTCCCAGAGTGGGCTCCAGTCCCCAGGGCCCCAAGGTGAATAGCAGTCATTGATGGGGAGGCCAGGTGTCCGGGGTGACGGATTGTCCCTTTAAGTGGGTAGGGATCAGTATGGTGTAAGTGGGGTGATTCAGCAGGAGCATTTGGGTAAATCTCAGAATAGACCATCTTTTCAGCCCCATCTCTTCGTCCCTCCCTGAAATCTCCACCTGGCAGCTGGTCCTCCCTTGGGCTTCCCTGAATTTGCTCCTTCTCTTAGGAAGTATGGGGCTTTGGGTGGAAGGCTGTTCACCTTGGGCTCTGGTTCCTACACAGACCATAAGAAGATGTCCTAGGAAGGGACAGGGGTTGCAGACAGTGGAGTAGGAAGGACAGAGATTGACACTTTCAAAGCACTGCAAGGTGACAGGATGCCTGTGTAAGAAAATCACTCTTATGTATTTGGGGCTCTGACCTGTTGGTAGTTCAGTTTTCATTTCCCTCCAGTCTGGGGATGGAGAGTGTTAGGAATTCCTGCCTTTGACTCCCAGCTCCCTAGAGAGCTAGGGAGTCTCAGAGCCACCACAGATTTCTGCACATGCATGGCTCCATCCTGCTTGGTCTCCTATTGGTTGATGAGGCTCAAATTCAGAAATACTGCTAGATTTCCAGAAAAACAACTTGTTTTCCAGATTCCTGAGAGCATTCCCTATGGTCACTGGGCAGCACCAGATTCTGGGAATCATCTAGATTCGGGGAGGCTCCTAAAACTGAAATCCTTCATGTGTCTAAGCCACATGGGAAGGCAATTATCTTTCCGTCCATAAACTCACCCACACACCCACCCTGATATAGCACCTCATTCATCCACCATGCATCCAACCATCTGTCTCTTTATCTGTTTGTCTGTCTTCATCATTCAGCACAGCCATTATCCACCCATCCATCCATCCATGCATTACATTCATTCGCTTCTTCACTTTAGCTATGTACCTGTCCATGTGCTGATTTGTTCATCTATACACTCTCTATTTTGTGTGTGTGTGTGTGTGTGTGTGTGTGTGTGTGTTGCTGGGGATAAGAACCCAGGGCCTCGTACATTCAAGGCAAGCACTCTACCAACTAAGTTATATCCCCGGCCCCATCTGTACAATCTCTGACCTTCTATTTCTATGCATTTACTTATGTATCCCTGCCACAGTATTCCTGAAAGCAGAGCCTGAGACAAAGCTCAAAGTCAAACATGGTTTTCAGTGGACTAAGATGGAGGTATTTGGTGGATCTGCATTTCTGGAAACTGCAGGGGAGAGTCCCTTCCCTTGCCTTTTCCTTGGCTTGTGGCCCCTTCCTTCATCTTCAGAGCCAGCACTGTGCAGCTGTGTAGTTTCTTTTTTTATTTTTATTTTTTGGTGCTGGGTGATGAACCCAGGGCCTTATGCACGCAAGGCAAGCACTCTACCAGCTGAGCTATATCCCCAGCCCCAGGGTAGCTTCTTTACATCTCAATCTGATCCCCATCACAACTCTGCTGACTCTGACCTCCTGCATCTCTCCTGTAAGGACTCTAGTGACCACACAGGCTCACTCCAATGATCAAGAATTTATCTCCTTGTCTCAAGATCCTCCACCCAATCACATCTGCAAATTCCTTTCGCAATGTAAAACCGCACCCTCGTGGGCTCTAGGGATTGGGATGTGAATATCCCTGGGGGCTACTGTTCTGCCTCCCAAGGTAGCTGATGCAGACTTGCTTCAAAGGAGCAGGAGGGCAGAGTGGGGGCAGGCTGAAGGGGACGGGGGAGTGGGGAGGGGAGAGGGGGGAGGGGGAGGGGGGAGGGGGAGGGGAGGGGATGGGGGAGGGGATGGAGAGGGGTTAACACAGGGAGGGAAGAAAGGCTATTATAGGGAGTGACCTGCTCACTGCTGTATCTCCAGAAGCATTTTGTTGAATGTGCCTCAGAACTTACTTCCATGGGACGGAAAGGAGAAGCATCTGTCTAGACCTCTGTCCCTCCATCCCACCTTCCCTTCCTTTCATAGGTCTGAACATCCATCCAATACACGTGGAAGTCCTGTGATGCAGGCCTGTGTTTAGGATGGAGCCCAGAACTGAATCCAGGCTTCATTTCTATCTTCAGGTCATTTGAGCCAGGACTCAGAGGAGCACAGGTGGCTCAGCTCATCCTGTTAACTCTTTCCTGCAGGTTCTGGGCCACGTGCACCCAGAATGTGGCTTCATCGCCCAACTGAGAGAAGATGAGAGGGCCTGTCTAGAGGCAGCAGAGGGGACGCCCAACACCTCCCTGAGTACGGGGCCTGGGGGGAGAGGTGCTATCCCCAGGTCCCTTACCTCCTCCAGCCTGGCTGCTCAGCGTGCCGGGCCAGCCGTCTACCCTGTGTCTCCCGTCTCCCTGTCTAGGCTGCCCTAGGACCTGGGACGGGCTGCTGTGCTGGCCGGTGGCAGGCTCTGGCGAGTGGGTCACCCTCCCCTGCCCTGCTTTCTTCTCTCACTTCAGCTCAGAGCCCGGTGAGGACCCTGGGTGGGGTGGTGGAGGGAGGTGAGGTGATTTCATCTGAGGGGGTGGTGACCCATCTCTGGCTTCGGGTCCAGGCAGACCTGGATCACAATGCCACCCTTCCTGCTTCTGGCATGACCCTGGGCAAGTCCCTCCACCCTGGTCCCCTACTTGCTGAACAAGAACAAGACACTAACCTCACAGGGGGAGGGAGGACCAGAGGGTGGAGTATGGAAGTACTGGACTTGAGGCCTGGCATCAAGCAAATGTTCTCCAGCCGTTAGCGGGAGAATAGCAAGTCTGTCTCCCTGGAGATGCTACCCGCTGTCTAGGACAGAGGGGGGATGGCACCTGCTGTTCTGCCTCACTCCCTCTCTGGAGGGGACAGTCCCTCCAGGATTCTTTCCTACTCCACTTAAGATGTTGAGGGCCTAACTCACCACTCTCTGCCCCTCAAGGGACCACAGAGGGAAGACCCCAGGCTGTGTAGCAGGCAGGCTGGACCCAGAACCCAGGCCTCTCAGGGACCTCACCCTCTCTCTGTCCCCAAGCGCAGCCTGTGCAAATGCTACCAGGGGCATCAGATGCTCCAGAGCTCCTCCCACCCCTCCTGGGGGGAGGGGGAGTGCTGTAAGCAGAGCCTCTTGCTTCCCTCCCAGGGGCTGTGAATCGGGACTGCACCATCACCGGCTGGTCAGATCCCTTCCCACCGTACCCCGTGGCCTGCCCAGTGCCCTTGGAGCTGCTGGATGAAGAGGTAAGAGGCTCCTAGCCTCTTGGAGGAAGGGTGGTTATGGACATCTGTATGGGTGACAGACTGCACAACTGGGCGTCTGCCATTCTCATTGCCATCAGCTGGAACATTAATTACAGCAGTCGCCCAGCAGCAGGCAGTGAAGAGTCGGGCAGAAGAAAGTCGCTTGCTAATTTGCTCAAGGGTGACACATGGGCCACTTTGCTTGGAGGGAGTGGGGCATGGGGAGGCAGATGGGCTGGCTCCCATCTTCTTGGCCAGCCCTTCTCTGCCTGGCCCTTCAGAGAAACGGAAGCTCCTAGAAGCACCGGGCCAGAGACTCCCCTCCGTGGTCCTCCGTCTGTGGGACAGTGTCTGTAGGGTGTGGGTGAGTGGGAGGGGACTCGGCCCGGACGTGATGGCAGATACCCCCAATTCCAGACAACACATCCCACACTGTGCATAGAGCAAGGCGCTTTGTCCACACTCAGACCCTGTTTCTCCCCGCCCTCAGCTCGGAAAGTTAAAGCAGGCGTGTGACCATGTTTCCAATGAAAGAACTGCATCAGAGAGGGGCAGGGGCTGCCTGAGTTGCACAGGAGAGCTCAGTGGGGGATCAGTGACGGGGCTTCTGCTCCTTCTCTTGCCTGCATCCTCCATCTCACGGCCTGGGAGGGACTCTGATTGATCTGAACACCCAGGCACGGAAAGAGCTTGTCCCTGCCTGCCCATGGCTATGCCTTGCTGCCCTGGCTGTCCCCTTTGTATGGGGACATTGTGTTCCCAAGCTGGTGAGCACACTGGTTGTCAATAAATTGCCAATTTCCTCATGGGCTTTTGTCATGCCCCACGGATGGCTCTCTGCTGCTGCCTCTCTGTGCCCCTAAAGCAGCCATGGGTGCTAAGCACCTCCAACCCTCACCTCCAACATCAGTAGGGCAGGGGAGGGCAGGCTGCAGGCAAAGCCTCCAAGCACCGAGGAGCTTCCTGCGGTGCCCAGGGCCCTCTGCCCCAGATGGGGAGGGCTGGGGTGGAATCACTCATCACCGAGCCTCCCCTTCACCAAAGGCTGAGACTTTTGTCTCTCCCCTTCCCAGAAATCTTACTTCTCTACAGTGAAGATCATCTACACCACGGGCCACAGCATCTCTGTTATCGCCCTCTGCCTGGCCATTGCCATCCTGGTTGCTCTCAGGTTTGCCATCCTCACCACCTTCAAGAACCTTCAATGGCTCCCTGTTGCCCAGAGGACCAAGTCGGATTCTTTGCCTGGCAGTCAGGAGGTGCCCAGATCTAGGCATCATGTCTGTTTCTGACCTTCCCTGCCCCTTCCCCACCACGTGGACCATGTCTTCACACACCAGAACCCCCTCCTCCAGCCTTGGCTTCTGTGGAACTCATGATAGCAACACCTTCTTTCTTCTCGGTGCGCTTACATCTGCCCCAAGTTCAAAGCCCTGCTTCCGTCTGCTTCCGAGGACTCTCTTTGCCTCCTGTGTTCAGTCCTTCTTGACTTCTTGTTCCAACCCTCTGAGGCTTTTTTTCTGTTTTAATGACTCTCCGGTGTTCAAAGTCTGAGTCCCACTTGGGCCTGCGCTGCCCTCTGCTCTGGGGCTGAGTCTCTGGTCACCAGGACACGCCCACAGGCAGTTCGCTGCCATCTCTGCTCCTGCTACCCCGACTGGAGCTCTCTGAAGGCAGTGATTTCCTCTGTTCCTGCACCTCTGCTGCACCCAGGGCCATGGTTGGTCACCTGACCTGCAGGGCTACAACTCCAGGTCACCCGCTCCACTTGACTTGCTTGGATTCAGTGCATCTCCCCCCAGCCCAGCCCAGCCCAGCCAGGCCCCTGTTGTAGGAAGCCCAGACAGGTGCCCTCGCCCACCTGACCTCCCGTTCCTCATCTCTCTCTGTCCTTCCAGGAAGCTCCACTGTCCCCGGAATTACATCCACACCCAGCTGTTTGCCACCTTTATCCTCAAGGCGGGAGCAGTGTTCCTGAAGGATGCCACCCTCTTCCACAGTGACGACACCGACTACTGCAGCTTCTCCACGGTAAAGCCGGGGGCAGGGGCAGCCTAGAGAGCACTGTGCCTGCCCTGTGGCTGACGGCAGAGCAGGAACGGGCCCCTCCCCTTCCTGCCCCCAGCTCAGGCCCCCTCCCCAAGCCCTCCCGGGACCACCGTGCCCATCCACGCCCCGGCTCATCCTCCCACCCCACTCTGAGTCCACACTCCTTTCCATGGTCCACCCGCCGTAGTTCTTGCTCTGCCCAGCCTTTCCTTTCTCTCCATCTCATTTCCCTACCTCCTCTGTCCGTTTGTGGCTGGACAGAGCTGGGTCCCTTCTTCCAGAAGCACACACAGAGGGGACAGAATGCACACACAGAGCTGGGGACTGCCAGGCAGAGAAAGCTGAGAGCTGGCAGAGAATGAGAGAGGGCTTCAGGGAGGAGGTGGCTTTGGAGCTGGGGCAGCAGCGACAGGGAGATGGGGAGGAAGAAGTGTGGACAGGCTCTCAAAGATAGGAGAGCTGGGACATGGCCACGAGGCCAGAAGTCCTAAAGGGCGGTGGAGGAGCCGGGAGAGAGGCTACCCCTCTGCCCTGGGGCTGAGTCTCTGGTCACCGTCACCGGGACACTCCCACAGGCTATAGAGGCTACAGAGGGAAGCTGGGTGCAGGGCTCGGGCTCAGCATCTGCAGGGTCTAAAAGTATATGGAAATGAACAGATAAGTGAACGAAGAAACCAACAGACAATCTGAATTAATTAATGGAACAATGAATAATTGAAAATAGTGAGCACTTATTATGTGCCGGGTATTGCACTAAGTGCTTTAGATGTATGATCTCCTTTCATCTTCAACACGCCTTGAAGACTGAAGCATCACTTCAATCCCATCTTTGTCCACGAGGGGAAACTGGCAAGGCTGCCCAGCAGCACAGTGGGGGAGCTGGGCCTGAACCACGGCTCCTTGGGCCCCAGCAGTGATGCTGTAGTTCACCGCACGCCCCGCCCCTGACAGGGGTTTAAACTTGAACCCAGCCTCTCTGGATCCCAAATCTGTGTCCTCAGCCACCACGTGATCCCACCACAAGCCCTCTAGGGAAGCGCAAGCAGTCTCATGGCCCAGGCTATGGTTGGGGGTGTCTGGAGGTTCAGGGTCTCTTGGGCAGAGCTGGGTCCCTCCTTCCAGAAGGAGGTAGAGGAGATCTGGGTGCTGGCTGCAATGAGGTCTCAGCTCTAAAGCACCCAGGTCCCCTGTCCCCAGGTCCTGTGCAAGATCTCTGTGGCCACCTCTCACTTTGCCACGATGACCAACTTCAGCTGGCTGCTGGCCGAAGCCGTCTACCTGAGCTGCCTCTTGGCCTCTGCCTCTCCCAGCTCAAGGACAGCCTTCTGGTGGCTGGTCCTTGCTGGCTGGGGTGAGTACCTGGGGCTGTTCTGCACCCTGGGGGAGGAGAAGGGCTGGGAAGGCCCAGGGCACTCACACAGAGGCCCTTCCCCCCGGTAGGGGTGACTGCAGTCCTGAGAGGGGAAGAGATGGGCCACAGTCCTCCACCAGGTGTTGGCGAGCAGGACTGGATCCCTGGACCCTGGGCCCTTGTCAGGTCCAGCCGTTGAGGCCAGCAGTGGTGGTGGGAGGGGAGGGCGGATCTCAGAGCCAAGGATGCAGACCCCCCTCACTCGGGTCTCCTCTGCACCCCACAGGGCTTCCCATGCTCTGCACTGGCACCTGGGTGGGCTGCAAGTTGGCCTTCGAGGACATTGCGTGAGTCTGAGCAGCCTCTCATTACACCCACACCTGGGGACCTGGGGTGTGAAGAGGACTGTCAAGGGAAGCAGCCTTTCTCCTCCAGAGTAGGAAGAGAAGGAAGAGGAGTTCCCAGTGTGGGTGGGGCTGGGAGGTGGGGAGAATGTCTGCAGATAACCCAGAAGGGGCAGTAGCCCTGGCAGAAGGGGCCCAGATTGCCAGGGTGTGGGGCTGTCAGTGTGTCCTCTGGAAGTTTATGGGCCACCAGGACGAATGTTAGAGAAGTCCATTCCTTCAGGTGAAGAGAAAGGCTGAGCCCAGCCCCAAGTTCCAGAACCACTGGGGCTTCTCTTTAGAAGGCCTATGTGTCTGAAAAAGAAGATAAGGTGGGAGGGAGGTGGGGGTGAAAGACACCAAGGAGAGGAGCCCAGGAGTAGCCAGAGGAGAGAGGAGCGGGGTGCGTAGGTTCCTGCAGAAAGGGAGCGCCCCCATCAGCCCTGGCCTGCCCTCTCCCTAGGTGCTGGGACCTAGACGACAGCTCCCCCTACTGGTGGATCATCAAAGGGCCCATCATCCTCTCTGTTGGGGTCAGTTCCTGGGAGCAAGGGTCCTTTTGCTTTATCCAATCAGCCTCCTTGGGTCCCCCAAGGGGCTGTACACAGCAAAATGCAACAGGAAACACCTCCAGGCGGGGAATCGGGAACCCTGGGTCCCACCTCCCCCTGTGCAGATTCTCTGGGCGTGGGGTCCCTGCCTCAGGATCAGATTCGTTGGAACAGGGACTCCAACAACACGCATGCTTCTAGCTTGGAGTCTCCAGGAGTCTGGGGTGCTGCTGGCTGCTGATTACGCACTGTGGGGCGAGAGGCAGGGGTGGGGTGTAGGTGAAGCCTGTGCAGGGGAACAACCACTCCGGGCTCCCACTTGTAACACAGGACGGCGAGCTCTATTTGCATGGCGCTGAGGGAACGAGTGAATTTTCCCCAACTTAGCAATTGTGCAAAGTGATGGCATCTGCTTTGAGGCAGAGAAGACTCAGAAGAGACTGGAGGCAGGTGGCAGGGCCTGCCCCTCCCACCTTTGCTGCCAGGTCTGGAGAGGGAGGGGACGTAAGCCTTTCATGTCCTCTGAAGACCTCACGTGGGAGCCCTAAGTTCCAGACCATGATCTGGGCACATCTTTCACTGGCACATCTCCGTGTCTCAAGGATTTGGGGTTTCCTGTCCCCAAAGGGGCTAGGGTTCCTCCTTAGGCCACCCAGTGATGCCCCTGACTCTTGCCCTCTCTCTTCCTGCACCTCGTTTCCAGGTGAATTTTGGGCTTTTTCTCAATATTATCCGCATCCTGCTGAGGAAACTGGAGCCAGCTCAGGGGAGCCCCCACACCCAGTCTCAATATTGGTACCTTAGGGGGTGGGGTGGGGTGGGAGTGCGTGCCTGCGCACACACAAGCTCATGCACCTTTGTGGCTGTGTGTGTGTGTGTGTGTGTGTGTGTGTGTGTTGGGGGACCCGAGGGAGGGCACGGAGGAGATTCCAAGCGGTTCTGTCTCGTTCAGCAAGTGCTCACAATCCCAACACTCTCCTCTTTCCTGTGTCCTCAGAGACAATAGATCTTGTCCCTGCCCTCCAGGAGACCACAGCATGGGAAAGATGGGGGCCTCCCAACAGCCAGTTACCATGCTCATTAGGCGGAAGAGAGGCAGGATCCATTTCTTCAGGGGCCTAGAGATGGGGATCTTTCTAGACAGCAGGGAGAGGGGAGTCAGGGAAGACGGCCTGGAGGGAGTGGTCTTTGAACTAGATTTTGAAAGATGCATGGACTTTGGAATAAAATGGGACAAGAGACCTTAGCAGAGGGTACAAGAATAAGGAATCCCAGCATGAGTGCGGAAGGATGGGTGTCCCAGGTGGCTGGTGCCCAGGGTGGAGTGGGGACGCTGTGGCAGTGCGAGTGGGGAGAGCCGACGCCGCAGTTTCTGACCCCAGCCTTGGGAACCTCGTGTTTGTCTTCCCTGCAGGCGCCTCTCCAAGTCGACGCTTCTCCTCATCCCGCTGTTCGGAATTCACTACATCATCTTTAACTTCCTGCCCGACGATGCTGGCCTGGGCATCCGCCTCCCCCTCGAGCTGGGACTGGGGTCCTTCCAGGTGAGGGTCTCCACAGGTACTTTCTTCCTCCAAGTACTTGAGCAGGAGGCCTTGGCTAGCTTCCTGATAGGGTGAGGGCCACTACTCTTCATCTATTCAACTACCCCCTGTCCATCTTCCATCCATCCCTTCATCTCCCTGTTCTGTCCATCTGCCCACCCACCCATGCATACATTCATCTCAGCTATTGAACATTTATTATGTTTTCATATCAATAAAGGAACTATTAATATGAATAAAGAAAATCAAGAAAAGCTGGTCAAGGTGTCGCAAACCTTCTATCCCAGTGACTCGGGAGGCTGAAGCAGGAGGATCCTGAGTTTGAGGACAGCCTTGGCAACTTAGAACCTTTCTCAAAACAAAAAATAAAGGGCTGGGAGTGTAGCTCAGTGATAGTGCACCCCTGGGTTCGATCCAGGTCAGAGAAATGGGCTAATAGCACCGTCCGGGCAGGCTTGCTACAGCAATGATACAGAACAGTGTGCCTGGCAAACAGTAAGCGATGAATGCATCTAAATTCCCTTTTGGCAAACACCTGGCCCAAGCTGCAGCCTGGGGGTGATGGGGAGAGGGTAGTAGCAAGACTGTGGAGGCCTTGAGGCCAGGCCAAACTGTTCTTATGGAGTCCTTCCTCTCCGGTCCCACAGGGATTTATTGTTGCCATCCTCTACTGCTTCCTCAACCAAGAGGTATGTGATTCTTCTGGCTCTTCCTTGCTTATTGGGCTCCCACTGCCACTGAACCTAAGCTCCCCCACCCACCCCAGCTTAGGCTGACTCCTGTGATCCTTGACTCCCATGATCCTTTGTGGGAGTCTGTGCTGAGCTCCTTGATCAAGCGGAACCTGAATGCTTTCTGTAAATATCGTTCACCCATTCCTCCTCTGAGCGGGGCCAAATTCTACTGCCTGTTCAATAGGAGGGAGAGGAGGTCCTTCAGGGGTCAAGGGAGAGAGGGGGAGGGAGTATGCCAGCTCCAGGGAGAGATGGTCAGAGAGAACAGACAGAGGAGTTGAGAGTCAGAGGCAGACATATGGAGACCTAGGGACACAGAGTCAGATTCAGACAGAGACAGAGAGGAAGATCCAGAGCAGAATGTGGGAAACAGAGAGCACCTAGAGGAGACACACAACTGGACCAACCAGAGATGGAGGCAGACACGAATAGACAGACTCGATGGCCCGGCTGCTGTGCACATAGAGGCACGGGAAAAATGGCAGGCGAGAGTGAGTGACATCCAGAAGACCCTGCGAGTTCCTGCCCTTAGGACAGTTTTGCTCGAGGGAGAGATGGGAGAATTTAGCTCTGAGCAGCTACTCCAGTCCCCTCTGCTGGGTGCGTGGTCGGGGTCGCGGGCTCCCCTTGGTGGCCATGGGTTTGCTTCGCAGCCCTGCTTCTAGTGGAGAGCAGGCTGCAGGTGCCCTGTGCCGCTGCCTACCCGCACCTCTGCAGGCTAATGCTTCTTTCTCCTTGGCTCCCTGGGCTCCCAGTCCAGCCTCTCTGAGTCCCCCGAGCCTTACCTGGAGTCTGGAATGTAGACCCAGGCCTGCAGCGTGAGGGTGTGGCGATTGGTGGGGGCTCAGGGCGTCCTGGGGGTAGCCTCTGCGGAGGCCAGTGGGGTCTGAGAAAGGAGTTCCCACAGGTAGTCCTGGAGGGATCTATCCCAGGAAGCAGCGTTGGGGACCGGACGCCGCTGGTGATGGGGAGCTTACTACCCACCAGCAGTGCTCTCTGTCTTCAGGCAGCTGTGGGGTGACATCCTTCTGTGAGCAAAACTCTGCACCCCCTTTTATCTTTATCGCAGCCCCAGCTCGGCTCTGCCAGGCAGGTCCAGTCCCTCAGCCCCCAACAGTCCCTCGGAGATGTGAAGATACAGGCAGCACCCACCCCCACTGGGGCCCCACCCCTGACTGCATTTCTTTCATTTCTCTCAACTGCAGCCTCACACAGAGCTCTGAGTCCTCTCTCCCTTCAGTCATGTCCTCAGGACAGATTCCTACATTTGAGCTCACAGAATCGAGCCTAGTGCAGGGGTGATTAAAGTCACCCAGGGAGGACAGAGTAGTAATTTGGCAAGGATACTCAAGAAAGCACCCATAGGTGTCTTTAACTGGACCCAGACACAGGCAGTGCTAAAAGGCAAAGAAAGGCAAAGGCAGTGGTCAGCAATACTCAGAGGAAGGAGGAAGCAGTATTATCCAGGGGAGGTACTGGGCATTACCTGTGGTCAGCTGTGGCTTCTGCTGCCCTGTGTGTGCTTTTCCTACAGGACCTCTCCCTGCACCCCCAGTCTCATTGGGGTAAGCAGTGGAGTGGCCATGGGACCTTCCTAACATCCTCTCCCTTATCCCTGGAGGTGAGGACTGAGATCTCACGGAAGTGGCATGGCCATGACCCTGAACTGCTACCAGCCCGGAGGACCTGTGCTAACTGGGCGATGCCTTCCCGCTCAGGGGCGAAGGTGCTGACGTCTATGTGCTAGGTGGGCCACATCGTGCCTGGAGTCCATCCCTGAACTGGGGCAGCTACTCACCAGCCTTTGGAGGAGCAAGACCATCCTTCCTGCCTCTTGGCTTTTCTCTAGGTCCTTTTATGTCATTGCTAACTTCCTTGATCTGTGTCTCTTCCCAGTAGGTCCTCTTCCTCAAGTCTGGGGCCACAGCCCAAGGCTCCAAGGAGCCCATAAACTTATACCTGAATAGATACATGCTCCAGTGAACAATGTGCCTCTAAAGGGGAGAGCGTCTCCATCCCCTATTTGAATTTCCGGTGCAGAGTTGCATTTATCATTTCTGAGTTCATGCTGCCTTATCAGCATTTGTCTCTGCAGGGATCCTCATGTTTTATTAATTTTAAAAATGGATTCTCTCTGTTCCCACCCCACTCCCACGCCCCTCCTCCCACAGGCAAAGAAGCCAACATGTGCAATGAGATTCTTTGTGTTTCTGTGTCTCTTGCAAAACATGGAGTGTTTCTTGTGTTTCTTCTGAGAATTTACATAAATACTATTGGTTATGTGCTTCATCCTGCTTTCGTGTTTCCCCGCTCGGCACTGTGCTTTTGAGAAATCCATGTTGCCATGTGTGTGTCTGGTCCTGTTTGGCCTCATGGTGCCACATGGGGCTTTTGTCACAGGTTACCCATCCCCCTCCCTCTGGGTGGACATGCACCTGATGTTCCCTCTGGACTGGTATGGGCAAGCCTTTCTCTGGGACTCGTACCCAGGAGTAGATACCTAGGACACCAGTCACACCTCTTGTTGACGTGACATATTGTGTGTCTGCAAATTGGCGCTCCCGCCAGCAGCTCTCCAGGTTACGAAATACCTGCAGCCCCCGACACGTGGCACTTGCAGCTCGTTCGTGTTGGCAACCCATATGGATGCATGGTGGCCCCACATTGCTAGTCCTATGTGCATTTCCCTGATGTCTAACAAATGTGAGCATTTCTCCTTGTGCCCATTAAAAGCTTCTTCTGGAAATTGCTGAGTCTCCTTTCCTGACCTTCTCTGGGGTGGAGATTCCTCTACTCTAAGTCCTTTACACCTTCCTGAGTCCCAACCTGCTGCCTGCTGCCCAGTACCTTCTGAGGGCTCCTTTAAAGCAACACATCCATACCATCCACCCCGCTCTCATCCTCCTCCTTGGCAGGAGGAAGGAGAAAGAAACCAGGGTACTGTCCTTGGAGACCTGAGAGTCCAGCCTCCCCCTCCAGCCTCTACCCACCAGGGCTGATTGCTGGACCTTCTTGGGTTCCTCTTGCCTCTGTGATCCCCTTGAGCCCTTTCTGCACGAGATTCTGCTTGCCTTCCATGATATTCCTGGATCATGGGCTGGGCATGGCGGGTTGGGCTGCTGGCACACAGGTGTGTGTGCTAAAGGGCACTGGTGGACACCCCTCTGCTCATAATCATGAGGGTTCCTGTGAAGGAGGAGGTGGCCGTATGAAACCCGAGGTCACATGGCTGCCCGTGATGCCCAGATGCCTAGCGCCTGCTGGTGGGACAGACGTCAAGGTGGCCCAGTTTCAAACCCACCGTGCATTCTTTCCTTTAGTGTCAGATCATAAAAGTGATCCCACTTACCGCAGGTGATCCGGAGGTTGCTTCAGTCAACTTCTCTTCACTGCGACCAAAGACCTGACAAGAGCCATGCTCATGATCTCAGAGGTCCAGTCCCTGGTCAGAAAGCAGAGCATCATGGTGGACGGGCCTAGTGGAGGAAAGCAGCTTGGGACACACCAGCTGGGAAAGAGACAGAGCTCTGCTCACCAGGTGAAGCCAGAATTAAAGACAGGCAGTTCGTGTAGAGAGGTAAGCAGTTGGTCCAATGGAAAGAATGGAGGCCAGTTTGGGTCCCGGAAATTGGAGACTGCCCCTGAGGAATGGAAATGTCAACGTCTTCAGAGCCCTTCCTCCACTCTCACCAGGATAACCTGCCCCTGCTGCAACCTGTGGCTAAGTTAACCTGTCCCAGGGATTGCCCCTCCCGACAGGGCTGCTTCCTGCCTGGATCACTCCATTTGGCCCCTCCCCCTGCCCATCTGTTTCTCACCTGTTGGCCATTCCACCTGGGCCACCTTCTGGGCCTAGTCAGGTATTCAGGAGGGGGAGAGATAAAAGGGAAGAAGGCAGAAGAACTAAGAAAGTCTAGAGTATATAAAAGAGGCAGAACACCCTCACTTCTTGGGATACCAGTATACCAGCCATGGCCCCTCCTCCCTCCCGGGAGAAGCCTACTTTATACTAACTTTTAAATAAACCCTGCTTCATATGCTTGCCTCGACTGCTTCTCTAATGTTCAAACCTCAACATGTGGGGAAGCAGAACTCATCTCTGATAACTGGAGGTATCACAGGGACAAAACCCCAAAGTCATGCCCCAGGGATCTACCTCCTCCGGCCACCCCCCTACCTGCCTATAGTTGCCACCCAGTTAATCCATATCAGTGGATTAATCTACTGATTAGATGAAGATTCTCATAACCCAGTCATTTCACCTCTGAACATTCTTTCATTGTCTCATGAGCTCTTGGGGGACATCTCATATCTAAGCCAGAACAGAGGGATAGAAGGGATTAAAAAGAATATAAAAATCAACCATGATGTTATTACCCAATGACGTTCACCACGGATATCTTTATGTTTCCTGAAAGGTGTTTTTTCCTTCATGTTTTAATCAGCTGTTTTTGCTGCTGTGACCAAAAGACCTAACATGAACAATCAGAGGAGGAAAAGTTTACTTGGGGGGTTCAGGGTTTCAGAGGTCTCAGTCTTTAGAAAGGTCAGCTCCATTCCTCAGGCTCCCAGTGAGGCAGAACATCATGAGAGAAGATATGGTGGAGGCAAACAGCTGGGAAGGAGAGAAAGAGGCACCAGTAAGGAGAGAAAGAGAGGGTTAATTCTGCTTTAAAAGGACAAAATATATACCCCAAAGTCAGGGCTCCAGGGACGACCTCCTCTTGCCACACCCCAAGGCATTTAAACACCTAGTTAATCCCTATCAGCAGATTAATGCACTGATTATGTTAAGACTCTCTTAATCATCTTACCTTTAAACTCTCTTGCATTGCCTCACACATGAGCTTTTGGGGGACACCTCACATTTAAACCCCAACACTGCATTTTTGACACATCTTGCCATTATAATACATTTCTAAGTGTGCATCTTGTTTCTATCCTTTAAAATAACATGCATTTCCTACAAATGGTCAGTAAGCACATAAAAGAATGTTCAATAGCATGAGTCATCAAGAAAACCCAGATCAAGATCACAAAGGGATATTGTTTCACCCCTGTGAGGAAGGTGAAAATGGGAAAAAAACAAACAAAACAGTAACAAGTATTGGTCGGATGTGGAGAAACTGGAGCCCTCACACATTGCCGGTGGGGAGGTAAAATGGTCAGCTGCTTTGGCAAAAAGATTGGCAGTTCTTCGAAAAGCCAAACTTTGAGTCACTTAGCAAATGTAGTCCTAGGTAGATATATAAGAGAACTGTAAATGTGTGTCTGCATAAAAACTTTTCTGTGACTATTCATAATGGTCAAGAGGAGGAAACAACCCAATTATCCTCCAACCGATGAACGGATAAATAAGACACGGCATGTCCACACAATGGAAAGCTAATACCATAATAAAAAGGAATGGAGTGTACCATGCGTGAGCCCTGGAGATGTCATGCTGAGTGAAAGAAGTCAATCACAGGGGCCACATATGTATGAGTCCATCTATATGAAGTTCCCAGAACAGGCAAATCCCTATAGAAACATGGTAGATGAGAGGTTCACAGAGACTGTGGAGCGAGAACTGGGGAGTGACTGTCAAGAGTGATGGTGTTTCTTTTTGAAGCAACAAAATATTCTAAAGTTAGTAGAGATGGTTGCAAATTCTGTGAATATACAAAAAAGATCACAGAATCATGCACAGTGAAGGGGTGAATTTTATGGTATATGAATTTTATCTCAATAAAGTTGTGATTTTTTAAAAAAAGTAACTGAGCTGGCTACAGAACAATCAGACATTTTTTTCTGCTACAGACTTGTAAAGTCTATATAATGTTCTTTATTTACCAATTATCATTTAGCAAACTTTCAGTTGGTGAAAATCCTTGCCATTTTTATTAAATACCTGGGAAGATAGATTTCCTTGCCTACAATTTCAGTGTACACCTTCAAAAAGAAAAAAAGAAAAGTTCAGAATAAGCTTTGAGATTTTCAGAACTAATTCCCCTAGACCTAGAATGCTTTAGATAATGCTGTGCATGTGATGAGTCTTATAATACCCAAATTGCCTCCCAGAAAAGTCAGTCTAGTGGATTCTTGCACAAATGGTGTAAGCGTGACAGCTTTTCTGCAATGTTATTTATCATTCAAACCATCTTGGTCTCTCTTGAGTTTTAATTGTTGGTAGAGATGTTCGCGTAGTGGTGTTAGTGGTTGGTGTTAGTTAATGATAGTGGTTAATTAGTGGTTAGTGGCTACTTAAAATTTTGTGTTAGTAGTTAGAGGTTCATGTTAATGAACGTTAGTGGCTAGTTAGTGTTGTTGGTATTGGCAGAAGCTCTCTTTGTGAATTGTGCATCCCTTCCCTAACTATTTCACTATGGCTACAAGTCTACCTTTTGTCCCCTTCTAGTGTCACCTGGAACTTCAATCTCCTGCCACTTCGTTACTCTCTTCCATGATGGGGGTCTGTGAACTGGGCCTTGGTCCACGGATGCAGGGTCCTGGAAGATCCCTTGATTGGCAAACGCTTCCTCTTCCAGGGTTTAGGCTTCCCCATCTCTAGGGGGAGGAGGTTGGTCAAGAGGACACTGGATGGCAGGTTAGAAGCTGGGTTGGAAGAGCAATGCTCATTGTGGCCACCAGGTGGCAGACGAGCTGCAGCCAAGATCCCTGGCTGGACCCCCGGCAGCCTGGATGAGGTCCTGACACTGGAGATGGACAGAGCCCTCCCAGGGCCTGACCTGTGGCTCAGCCAGCCTAAGGGGCTGGTGGAAGAAGAGGCGCTGCTTTGGCCATCAGGGAAGAGGGAGAAAAAAGACATCCTCCAAGT